ATATCATTGAGATATTTAAAATAATAAATCACATGAAAAACTAAGTGCACATTATCGTAAATTACTTTGTATACCATAAAGTATAATATTTTCTGTTGAAATAATTTGTTTAAAAATATATCCTACTTTCTTAAAGTTTCAACGAATTTGTTTAAAATAAAAAAGAAAATACAAGAAAAACAGTAACAACAATCACGTATATCGAACATTTTCCATTTTCACGCAATGATTCTTGAAACTTGACAAACTTCGTATTTTGTTAATTAAAAATTAAAAAATTACTATTTTATTCAAACACATAGACGCATTACCCATAAATTCATCAACAATTTTGAAATTCTTTTTTTCTAATTCTAATCTATAGAGTTTTGTAAAATAAATGAAGAAATATCGATATGATACACGAACAAAATCATAAATATATATATACATATATTTATTTTTTATTAGTTTGATATTAAACTTGATCGATGAATTTCAATTTAGAAATAAATATTATTATTTTATTTTTTGTATTTTTCTATTATTTTTTTTTTTTCGTGTTATGTTCTAACATTTTTTTATTCTTTTTCTTTCCAATTTTGCATTCAAGGATTAAATATAAAATATAAATATTTACATATATATATATATGTATCATATTACACCACACTGTTTGAGAAATGTTTGCACGCAGAAAATCAATAAAACACTAAGAGTATTCTGCTATAATATTACACCGTCGAGTCGTGACAAAAAACGTAAGTACTACCTCCGTCTATGTGTGTGTATATATATGTATGTATGTGTATACGTGTAGATTCCTGTAACATCCAAGAAAAACGAGAAAGAAAAAGTCAAAAGTAAAATTAAAAAAAAAAGAAAACACAAAATGGGTTAACCACATTTTGCGATTGTTGGAAAAATGTTACGTGCGAGTTTTTAAGAAACGGAGGTCGTCCTACTTTATGTGTGGATGTTTGTAAGTGTGTAGTATAAATTCATTTTCATACATAAATCTTTTCACTTAATTCGTTATCTTCTGAAACATCCGGTACATTATTTATACAATGATATTTTATATTACACAAAAAAAAGAAAACAAACGATAAAATAAATTAAATTTCAATAGTTAATAATATTAATAATTAATTAATAATTAACCAGTAAATTTGTTTTTCTTTTTGTTTGTTGTACAGACGATGTAATAATAGTAATGAAAATGTAATTATATTATATTATATGTAATACTATTGTGTAAATACAACAAATGACTTGTACTATTTGGAGAACGACGAAAAATGTCACGTATACGTAGTAGTAATAGTAATCACGATAGCAATCGTCCCTAATAGCACAAAATATTGAAAAATATTGAATACATGTGTATTTAATATTAAAAAGACATTAAATCTCTTTTTAATATTAAATACACATGTATTCAATATTTTTCAATATTTTGTGCTACTAGGGTTTATTACGAATGAATAATTTGAAATTTTTATCTACGTTTTACTACTACTTCAAACGTTATATACGTAGGAACATTATTTAAATAACAATTTTGCTTAGCATGAATCTATTTTCTTAATCATAAATTATTCTTCAATGATGAACAATCATCATCTCACAATATATGTACACCTAACTTGGGAACTATGTGTGTGATTTTCGAAACATATATCAAAATTAACATGTCGTTCGCCAAAAATAAAAATAAAAATATTATAGAAGAGAAAAACATTTTTACATKTTATTAATTTAGAAAATATCTATAAAAAAAAAAAAGAAAAAAAAACAGGAAAAATATGTACACGACAATTGTAAATATGAACGTGAACGATGTTCAAAAAATTTGTTTAAAAAAAAAAAAAAATGACTAGTTCAACGAAAACATTTCGTTATCAATTTTTTCGTTTTTGGTTTCAATTAAACGTTGGTTCCAAATAATAATAATAATTATTATTATTATTATTATTATGATTATTTCATCGTAGAAAAAAAAAATTGAAAAAAAAATGAAAATGCTCTTTCCTAATTATGAAGATGAAAATTTGTTGTCTTCAAACTTTTTTTTATCTCGATTCGACGCGACATTGCATTATACATTTAAAGCGTGCGTTTACACATACATTCATACATTACATACATACATTACATATATACGTACATATAATACAAGTGTTGTAATAAGTCAGCCAAGTTTATCTCTCCTACGACAATAAAATAAATAAAAGAAGAAACTAAAAGAGTAGAGGGTGGGGGGGGGAGAAAAGATAATAATAATTAGTAAGGTGTTAATTAAACGGAGCTAGTTTTTGGTAAAGGTTTCAATTTCGATATCAATTCACGACGTTGTTCGTGATATTCCTGGAAACAAGGTACGATGCATAAATTAATTTTACATTCTGGACAATGGTACTTGGTTTTTCTTCGTAAAATTCTTCTACGAGCATCCATGGTGTTCCAACAATGATTACAACCTAAAGCTGGACCAGGTCGTAATACTGGACAATGAGCTAATCGTTGATCACCTGTAGCTTCTCTGAATAATCTGCTAATTGTCTAAAAATAATAATTATAATAACTTGAATAATTTTTCATTAAAAATACATACAAATTACGCGAGACATTTCAATTAGTAACAGTTAATTAATATTTTAAATTATTATAAAAATAAATGTATGTTTAAAACACACTTCACAATTTAAGTGAAAACTTCTATTGCAATTGTAACCATTATTATGATTGTTATATTACATGAACGATATTATATATTAGGTCTACCGAAAAATTATGTCAGTTTAAACAAACATTAGTTCAATTTTTCGTCACTAGGGGTAAGGCCCCACTTCTTAAAATGGAATATACAAATTGCCACCATGTTGGCAAGAGTTCAAAAGTAATTCAATTAATTAATTGTTCAAATTAGGAATAATTTATTATTTTATTTTATTTTATTTGAAAAATGAATAAAATTTTTAAGTAGACTTAATATATAGTTTATAAAAACTTATATTTGTGAATGTTCATATTTATTTAGATCCGTAAATCATTAATTGCACGTTCTAAAGTTTCCCTAATACAAAATTATTTTCTTTCTAATTTTTTTCTGTCGTTCTAATTTTTATTGATAATATGTTTATTGTATTGTTTATTATATTCATTCTTTAAGATTAATTTTCAATTTCTTGCCACGAATTCTTTTGCGATATTTTTTCAAAAGCGCATTAATAATTGACTCTATTTTGATTCATCCTCGATTTTACAATCTATCAAAGAACAATATTCAAAAATCGTAAACTAATATTAAATAAAAACATTCACAATCTGTAAAATAGTTAAACAATGCATAATGTCGTACAAAGTTATCAGTTTCTCATTCGCTCGACTAAACTCGTGAAGGGTGGGGGAGGAGGGGGAGAGCCGAGTTTACCCGAATGGAACGTTTTACATTGAAACACGACGAATCAGATTTCATTCTCATTGTCCCTAACATAAAAATGTCTACTCGATGAAATGCCTAAAGAAGTTTTCACTATATTTATTTGTGATTTTATTGTAAAGAACTTATGTAAGGTTTTATAGATCAGTACAGTCCGGCCAAGTACTATAATGAGTACAGGCCAGCACATAGACAAGAAGAAAGATGGATGCACTTGCTCCGCCTATCCCCACTTCTCAAAGCCCAATAAGAAAAAATAGAAATGTTTGAAACATATCCTAGTAGCACAAAATATTGAAAAAATATTGAATACATGTGTATTTAATATTTTGTGCTACTAGGGTAGTTGTATGATTCGAAATTTACAATTTTATGATCAATCGAAAATAAAAAAAAATAAAAAGAAATTAAAAGCACTTGAATATCTAAGCCAATGTTATTATCCTACTTCGTTATCTTCCTATTTATTATATTTATAGTATTAATAAAAATGTAATCCTTTCTATCAATAAAAAAAAATATCTATGATTAAAAGTTTGCATCAAGCAACGTTTCCCAATCAATCACACAGATCCATTATATAAAAATATCTTCAATTTGAAATAAATTTATCCCTCATACATATTTCCCTTAAATGATGAAATGGTATTAGGATTAATAAAAAAGAAAAAAAAAAGAAAACATTGACATACCTGAGGCGAAGAAGAACTTCGCCTAAGTTCGGTGGTCTTGACTCTTAATCCACTTGCTGATTGAGTATTATTACCACTGGCAATATTACTACTACTACTACTGCTGCTACTTCCGGCATTAGTTATAGCAACCAAAATAGGTTCTTCGCAAACAGATACATCTTTCATATCCTCTTCAGTTTTAACGATCGGTGCTGGTTCGACAACTATAGAAGGACTGGTAGTCCTTCCGGGAAATTCAGGATTTGAATGTTGCCTTTGTATCAAATAATTGCTGCCACTTGTACTTGATTGTTGACTGGACAAAAGTGGATGTGAATGTTGTTTCGTCAAATAGGACGGCTGAGGTACGCTCAACAAATTAGTTGGCGTTGTTACTGTTAAAAGATTCGATTGTGTGACCAATATAGAAGGTGGCGATGAACTCCTGGTTTCTTCCCAGGTACGAGGCGACGACTGTTGAGGTACGTTCAATGTTTGTGCCGTCAAGTGAATGGACGAGGAAACGATGTGGGGTGAATTTGGGTCGTTGTCCGGAGACAAATGGGATGGTTCCTTCTTCACTCTTGGCTGACGCATCAATAGACGACCTCTCTTTGAACCACCCATTTTATACTGAAGAGCTGAAATAACATTTGTTTGTCTTTAACACGTCAGACATGTAAACAACATTCGTACCATTATTATATTATAACGGTATATACATATATATATTGCAAATTTCAATAGTTTACGATGTCTTTTATAACGTTTCCTTTTTATTGTTTTTTTTTCTTTTCTTTACTTTTTTCCCATAGATATATATAAAAAAAAAAGGTATATTTTTATTTTTGCAATTTTCTATTCGTTCAAGATATTTATATACATTATACTATAAATCATGCTTATTTAAATATGTGTGAACAATTATAATAATAATAATAATAATAATAATAATAATAATAATAATAATAATAATAATAATAATAATAATAATAATGTTATTATAATGATAAAGATTATTAAAATTTTTACATAATAATTTGTAATGTTTTAATGATAATCGTGCAAAATGATTCGACAAATTTAATTGAATTGTTTCGCAAAGGTAAACATTGTTACTCTGTAACAATAATATGACGAATGACGATAATGATACATGAAATTAATAAGATAATTCGATTTATAAGCTTTATCATATATTAAAATTTCGATAATTATATATATATATACTATATATATATAATTATTATACAAACAAGATCAATGTTTGTTTCTCTTACATACTTATCGTTATGTGTTAAAACTTGTGAATGTAAATATAGTTTTTTTTTTGTTCTTTTCTTACTTAATGTAGTTTATTAAATGTGTTATACATAACATTGACACATTAAACTCGATTTTGTCAATTTTTGTTTAAGCCTTATAACGTTCATTCGAGAACTAGATTTTGTCTTAATTACGTCGTACGTTCGCCGCTACGTTAATGAGAAATACGCGCGATATATATAACAGATTTTTTTATTTTATTTTATTTTACTTTACTTTATTTTACTTTATTTTACTTTATACTTTACTTTATACTTTACTTATTTTATTTTATTTTACTTAATTTTACTTAATTTTATTTTATTTTATATTATATTATTTTATTTTGTTTTATTTTATTTGACTTTATTTTATTTTATACGTATCTCGCTTTCATTTTTGGTATTTCGAATTAAACGGAATATTGAAAAAGAAAAACAAAAGTCCGAATTATTATTTTCTTCTTGATAAAATATAAATAAAACAAAAAAAAAACAAAAACAAAAAAGGAAGAGAAATAAAAATTGGATTAACAATAAAATTAAAATAAAACTTAAAGTTAAAATAATAATAATAATAATAACAATAATGATAATATTAATAACAATAATGATGATAATAATAATAATGATTAGAAAAGAAAAGAAGAAAAATAATAAGAAAAAATCGGAAATTCAGTCCTATTTGCAAGATCTGTTGTGAATATACTCATTTTTATTCATTCGTTATTAATTTCTTATATGTCAGTGTGTATAATGCGTGTAAATGCTTATAATTAGTTATAATTAGCAGCTAACATTTGTAATGATTAATTCTGATTACTTTTTTTTTTCTCTTTTTTTTTTTTTTTCGTTACTCTAAACAATTCTTCTTCGCCGTTACATTCTCGTTCCTTCGATAATTAATTAAAATTAATCAAATACGAAAATTCTCTACTCGCATCTCTTATCCCTTTCATCTCTCTGCTTATTCCTTTTTTTTTTGTTCTCATTTAAATTACAAAATAATTAATACTTACATCAGAAGAAATACTTTTTTTTTTATATATATATATTTATATCTCTCAGAAATATTAAAATCTCTCTTTTTTTTTTTTTTTGTTAAACTATATTTGCACATTCAATACATGCATTTATTCATCCGTAACTTTGGTAAATCAGCTGAAGTGTATGCATGAAATTCCACTGTTAACGGTAAAAAAAAATAATAATAAATAAATTACACCCTTCCCCGTCCTCTTCCCACAATTTTGAACCGATAAAATGACAAAAAAAAAGTTTAATACACGCGTCATACGTGTATATATTTACATATGTTCATATATGTATACGTATATGTTTGAAAAAAAAAAAAACAAACAAACAAACAAATAAAATAAAATGCAAAATTTCATTGAATTATTTAGTATAACAATATTTTTTGATATTTAACGTTTCATTTCGACAAATTTATAATATCATGAGATCTCTCGTTACGTTTTTTTCTTTTCCTTTCTTTATCCATTTCAAAAGAATAAATTAATTATAGACTTGTAAAAAAAAATCAAATTATAATCATCGAAATACATTTTCAATTTGATAATACTTTCGTTATTATATGAATCATCGGTTTATATATTTTATTGTTGCATTTNCAATATTTTTTGATATTTAACGTTTCATTTCGACAAATTTATAATATCATGAGATCTCTCGTTACGTTTTTTTCTTTTCCTTTCTTTATCCATTTAAAAAAAAAAAAAAAAAAGATGGAATTAAAAATCAAATTATAATCATCGAAATACATTTTCAATTTGATAATACTTTCGTTATTATATGAATCATCGGTTTATATATTTTATTGTTGCATTTAATCTAATATTAAATGACGTATACACACATACATAAACACGAAGAGGAAACATATTAATAGAAAAAACAAATTGTGATAATATCTTTGATATTTTAAACCGTTTACCATGAATGTGTGATGATATTTAAAATGTTAATTATTAAACACACAATTAATAATCCAGCACAATCGAATAATCGTAAACGATACTATTGCATACTGATAGTATAATATAATTTATTTGTTATTATATCATTTGTATATACTCTATACCGAAAATTATATATCTTAATAATGAAAGATAAACCGTTGTAACATTTTTATTTCCTTTTTTTTTTTTTGTTGTTTTTTGAATTTTGCTATTTAAAACAAATAACGAAAATTAAAATATTATAATACATATATTATAAGTATTCGTGCATATAATTTATAATTTTTGTTAAATGTAATGAATTTGTGCAAATACAGACACGATCAATTTTGTTTCATCAAATTGAATATTGCCACTTTTTTTTTCTACGTTACTTATTTCATTTTCATTTTGTTGTTCTTATTGTGTTCGCTGCGTGGTATACATATACAAAAAATTATTGATGGTAATATATAAGTCATACTCTAAAAATGGTGTTGTAACAGAATAATACAATTATCGATAATAATGCTTTTTTATATTTGTGTTTTCTTCTTTAACCCCCCACCTGCAGTTTTCTTTTCTTCTTTTTCTTTTCATCGTCATCTTCTGTTTTTTTTATTTTTTTTATTTTTCAACTACATTCAACACTATTATTATTCCAACTCTACAACTTAAATTTCAAGACCTTTATAAAGACATAATATATGTATATATATATATATATATATATATATTCTAAATAGTTAAAAACAAAACAAAAAAAAATATAAAAAAAAAATAAAGATTGTTACTCACTTTCTCTCTCTCTCTCTACCCTTCTCTATTTCTTTCTTTCTCTCTTTCTTCTAATTATATATATTTATAATATTTAAAAATTACAAATAATTTGTAATTTCATTAGAAATTTATCGATAAATTTCTACAAAAGTAGAGAATATTCGTTCGCAAATGTTTCTCCTTTCGTTTCTTTTTTTTTTTTTTTTCTTTTATCATTTTTCTTTTTTCCATATATATATATTATATATCACAATACTATCAAAACAACGCTAATTTTAATAATGAACGAATTACAAATAATAAATTATTCAATTTACAAATTTTTTTATCATCCGATTCTCACTCGTTAGTATCCTCCTTCTAGGAAGAAATATGATATTATTAGCCAATTAATTATTAATGAGATTTTCATTAGAGGCCCTCCTAATATAAAAAATCTTCTGTGTATACAAAGTATCATTGGATTGCACCAATCACAGGTAAAAATCCAATATTGTTTCGAGTGTACGAATATGCGACGAAAATCTTCTTTTTTAATTTTCGTCTTATCTTTGTTTTGTTTCTTTTGCTTCTACTTTTCTCTCTCTTTCTTTTTTTTTTTTTGTTTTTTTTTTTGCGATACAGTATCATTCATCGAGCTCTTGTTATAAATCGATAAATAATTTTCATGAATAAAATTCCGTTGATGACGTTAATCTAATGTCATCCGAGAAAAGCTTTTATCTCTTTATCTCTCTCTCTCTCTCTCTCTCTCTCTCCCTCTCTCTCTCTCTCATAATATTTATACATACAAGTAATAATCCGATCGTGATTCAGCTCACATGGCATTATAATTAACTCCGTGTAAATTAATTGGCATGGTAGTACTTGGTAATGCATAGTCCGTATGCCTGCTATCAATGTAACCGCTTAACATGGTATGAGGACTATGAGTGGTTAACATAGTATGAGTGCTATGAGTATTGTGTGTACTGTGGGGAGTCGATGGTGGCCCCATGGGAGTTGGACTTTGCGAATTTACAGGTTGGGCCGATTGTGCAGGCGGTGGTGATGAATTAACTTCTTGTTTCACTCTTGATTTTAAGCTAGGTCGATTATTTGGATAACCACGTTTCTTGTATTCAAGCCAAAGTGTTCGATTATTTACACCGAACATTCTGGCAGCTTTGCAAAACCCTATACCACCGTATCGCACAGCATCGAGAGCTCTAATAAAGTTCTCATCAGCTTGTGGATTTGTAGATCTTTTTCTTTTAATAGCAGTTTGCGGACTGGCGCAAGGACTCTGGCAGTTACTCGGACATTGTGTTGACGATGGGGGTGGTCCCCCACCGCCTCCTCCACCGCCGCCGCCGCCACCTCCACCTCCGCCTCCACCACCTCCTCCACCACCACCACCACCACCACTCGACGAGGAAGATGATGTATGTTGTAACGACGAGGTCCCGTGCGATGATGAGTTTGGATAATTCGTCAGGGCACAACTGGAACCAGTGGTGCTGGTACCAGAGTACTGATCGCTGATCGTCGAAGAAGTTGTTATTTCAGGCGTTGTAAACGCTGATGACGCTTGGATCGACAGATTCGTTTGACACGAGGACAGAGCGAAACGTGGATATGTGTGCTCCATAATAGTCCATTGTAATCCTGTAGAACAGACCGATGTATTTTTGGTCAGAGCACAGGAAAATATTATCCCGATTTAAAAAAATAATTTTCTTTTTTTTTTCCTTTAGAAAATAATAATAAATTAAATATGTATATATACATATAGGATCAAAATCAGATATATATATATAGAGAGAGATTTATTAATAATTCTACTATAATCTTAACTAATATCATTTAGATCTTTCATCATTTCCTATCTTATTCATATATGTATTGGCAAATCCTTTAATATATATATATACATACATATATATATATATAATGTATTTTTTATAACGATATATGTGACGACTATATGTAAAATGCATTAAGTGAATGTTACGGTTCTATTAAAGATAATTATTGAAAATATGATTTAATGTGAAGAGTAAAAAAATCATATAATTCATATAAATGATAATGTATGTGTGTATATATGTAATAATAAAATTGGATTAATAATTTTTACCAAAGAAAAATATATCATTTATCTTCACCCAACATAATTAAAAAAAAAAAAGAAATAATAATAATAGTAATAGTAATAGTAATAGTAATAGTAATAGTAATAATAATAATAATAATAATAATAATAATAATAATAATAATAATAATAATAATAATAATAATATTAATAATAGTAATAATA